CGAATTCTCCCAACCCCTCTCGTGTTTATATCAGGCTATGCAAACACGGAAAACGTTTTCTATTGCTTAAGTATTATATAATGAAGATGGCAGCAATCAAGGAGCACTGAAGAGCTTACGCGCAGGCAATTGGCTCGAACCTCGTTTAAAACCCGAAATTTCTTTCGGCCATTCTAACAATTGCTTAATGAAATTGTTGTAACAACCGTGACGGCCATATCTTAAATTTACATTTGTATTTCCACAGTTCACATTACCTTCATGCAGTGTTTTATTCCTTTCACGGGTTAACGCGATCTCCCCAAATTGACCTGCTCCCAATGTATGGGTCTTCTTAGCTCAGTTGGTAGAACTTTCTAGTGCTAACGCAGAGGCCATGGGTTCGAATCAGGGCGTAAGAAGCTAGGGCGCTAAACGAGCGGGGTCGAGCGATCTAGCTGTGATGCAAGGGTCTGGGTACTACCAAAGAGACAAAACAATATGGCGGACTTTATACTGGACCGTCAGAGCGATTATCCAGCGAACGTTAACCATTATCCCGTGGCATTCATTTGCTGCAAGCAATAGCGAAGGAACAAATTATTTTTTCTCACGTTCGTTTTCTGTTTTGTTCAATTTTTCCCCCGCGAACAAATATCTGTATTGAATATAGTTCCACCTCCGTGACCTGTATTAAAATTTCGTGACTTGGTAAGAAAATGGCATCACAACTCAGTTCATAGCACTGGCATCATTTTTAGACTAATAATATCGGTTCTCTACTTCAGTTTAATATCAAGTTGTGTAATTCATCATCTGCTATGGCATTTATTTTCTGCTGCCCTGTTTCAAGACCAGATGATCTGTTTTAACTATTATTTAAAGTATGGATTTGTTGGTGTACATCAGTATTCTTCTCTGAACACTTGTGAGCTATCTCTAATATTGAGCATTACAGTTGGACAGATTGTGAAAACTAAAGTCCGGGTAAATTTAAAATATAATAAAATCATTATTATTTTTTATCTTGTATACTAATACTACTGTGCAATGAAGAATAAGTATGTGAAAAAAATATAATTCACTGCCCTTGAAAAACTAACAAAGAGGTCGCAAGAACACAAATAAGTAGTCCGGCAAATGTTTTTGTTTGATAATAACAGCTTTTTGTAATGAAATGGTCACTGAAAACTTCCCATGCAAGACATACTAAGGAACTTAAAAGAAACTAAACATTAACCAGTCTTACATTGCAACCAGACATTGCTATATATATATATCTTACAGATACAACTTAAAACATTTATATAACATACAAATTCAAAAGTATATTGCAAACAAGAAAATTATACAGAATTATGCACAAGTGAAATATAAATGGCCTGTAACAGCTATTAAACCTTTGAAAAACAAACTTTTTAGTGTGACCAGCAACCCTAGCATACTTGTATACTTCATGTCCAGTATGATTCAATTTCATTCTTGGTTAAATTTACTAACTGCAGTCAGGCTTAATCAAACGTGATTAAAAAAATACTTTCCTGTTTCCTTGTAACTACAAAATCTAATATTAAGAGAGAGGATATAATTCTAGAAATATTATACAGTAGTACAAACAAAAGATAAGGCACCTCCAGGAAATTGAGTTGGTCCCTACTATTCTTCAGTCATTCTCTTTTACTCTCTGTAAGAGTTACACCTGTCCATTAATACAGACATTTTGTGCCAGTCCCAATAGTTTCCATCTGAGAGAGCTGACTCAGGAGCTGACTTTAGTTTGTGCAACACCACACTTAAGCCTTTGACGACAAAAATACAATGCTACACAGTCTTAATCTTCTTATTCTACTTGCAATCAAGTTAAGACCTCTTCATGTTCTTCTTCATATTCACGGTATTATGAACTCTTTTATCTTTCAGTGTGTGTTCTAGTAGTCTTTTCAGGCCGGGCACTCACTCTTGTCCTGCAAACAATCATTATAACAAACACATTCTATGATTTAATTTTACAGTGGAATCTTTGTGAGGATTTGAAAGCAAATTTCTCCGTAGGCTTCATTCTGTTTCTGTGCAATACAGCCTTTAGATTTATACCGCAGTGAAGCAGAATTTGTTGTTGGTTATGTAAAGACTGTCACACGAGATAATTCGAATGCAATTTTCTAGTACAGTAGAACTTAGAAAAATAGTCAGAACCTTCTTGGATTGGGGTTCTGTAACTAGAAAAAATTATATACCATCTTAGTGTATATTTAAAAAAAAGAAAAATTGCTAAATTGGGCAACTGAAATCTTTTATTTTACTAACAAGCTAAACGCCAACGTACAAAACAAAAACCTTGCTATCGTCATTATGAAGTCGTCACTTCAGAAGTAAAAAGACTTTAAAGGTTCATAAAAGTTCACTCTAAAAATTTGCATGCACGAACAAAATTTATAAAACCATTACATATTTTTTCTTTAGCCGTTTATTATCATTTGGTTTTGACTGGCAAGATAAAACGCGACCTTCAACCTGTAATATTCGATAGGCCATTTTGACACTACATAAACATAAAAGGCGAAAAAACACATTAACTTATAAGACTAACTATAAAATATCACCTAAATATTTTCTGTATATCGTATAGAAATACTTCAAATATCAAATCTAACTATAGATTGCAGCGATCTAAAGATATAAAGCAATAAATTCGAACCTACCTCCAGCTAGACGGCGCCATTTTTCTTTCCCTGACAGCGGATCGAGAGCGGAAAGGCGAACTAGTTCCAGTCCTACTCCGCATCACAGCTGAACCAGAGAGCGCGTATGAGCGTTTCAACGCCCTAGCTTCTTACGCCCTGGTTCGAATCCCGTTAGAGCCCTAAATTTTTTTCCGGGTTAATGTGCAATTGCCTTATATTAGTTGTTGTAATTGAACTAAGATAGTACGCGCGCTCTGATTGGCCGAGAGGAGTGTTTGCATGAGAGTATGTAAACATGGTTGTGGCGTCAAGATGTTTTGCTTTTCGCGGGCTAATCATGCAAGCACGAATTTGGAAAAGTTTTCGAGTTCAGAACTCGACAAGTTTACTTTATTTACCCATTCCTCCGTCGGCTGAAACTTGGAAAATCGGTACAAAGGTGTGTGAGTTTTTTTTCGCTTAAGCTGACATTTTAAGCGAGAAAAATCCGTAGTCTGAATAGCATCTCTTTGCAAAACAAGAACTGATTACGCGTGCAAAACTTCGTGTACAAGACTTTGCGGCTGGTAAAAATTTCTCTTTTAATCAGCGTCATAACAAACAGTTTTGCGTTTTTTCTTGGGAAAGCTATTTTATAAAAGCAATAAGAAAACTTTTTTCCTGTGTTTGCTTGGCCTGATATAAACACTCGAGGGGTTGGGAAAATTCTCGACAGTTACGCAAACCCTGGACTTCGTCTCGGGTTTGCATAACTATCTCGAATTCTCCCAACCCCTCTCGTGTTTATAGCAGGCTATGCAAACACGGAAAACGTTTTCTATTGCTGAACTACAATTACACCTGCGACGATCACATCTTCATTTAGGGTATTGTTGCATTTGCAGCCCAAATGCTTTGTGGCTGAGCTGTGCTTGTTTTTCTTTACAGGGGCAAGTGCCTGCGTTCAGTTGAAAAAGTTCAATGAAGCCATCTCTTGGTGCGATAAAGGATTAGCAGCATCCTTTTCTTAAGTGTATAGAGTAATTTCCATTTAAACATAATTTATCTACAAACAGTCATGATTGTAGCACCTATCGACGTTAAAAATGTGGCTTGTGTAGTTGTGCGTCTTAAGTCTTAAAACAGCTGCTTGCGAGGCCTGGGACTGACCTCTTTCTAATGTATGCTTTCCACTTACACAAGGCACTCGGGTAGATATCCCCTACACAAGATAGCAATCTTTTGGTCGTTACTTAGACTTGCCACAAGTCGACCTAAACGAGTTTAAGCGAGCGGAGCGAGCTTTTTAGTTCGCGAAGCGGCCGAGCGAGTGACGAAGTCGCGAAAGGTCCCGCGCCATATTAAATCGGACGAAGGACTTTTTTGAAAGTCTAGTCGTTGCTTTACGTTAAATACTTTAAAATACCGGTACGCTGTTGGGTTTATATCGCAAAGGAAATGTAGCGTGACTCACAGTTTCCACAAAAACTATTTTTATAAATTCTTTAACTGTTTAACTAAATCAAGATCGACCAGAGTAACCAGAAGTTGTTGGATTTACAGAAAAGATCTTTAAGAGAACAGAAAAAACTGTATGATGATTTCGGAAAAGAGGTAAGGGCAGAGCCAACTACACGATTGATATTGACTTACCCTTAAGTAGTTTTATTTGTCTCTTAAGTTTTGCATGTTTATGTCGGTAGAGTGTGTTTTTACCTAGATTCGCCAGTCAAAGGTTTCAGTACGTTGGTTGCGATATGTTTGTTCCATATAAATATATATTCTGCAGTTCTGTCCTGTTTGTGACTAATTTTTGGTGGTTTAAGAGGGCACCGTACATACCCTTTTAGACCCTCTTATATTCCAACTTGATGACCAGGCCTTAAGAAAGGTTATAGGAGTCGAAAAGAGGGAAACATTTGCTGCATGTCTTCGATTTTACTTTAAGGTTAAGCCACAATCGGCGACAAAATTGTTGAGACATTGTCCTCAAATGGGTTATCTTTAGAGAACCAAACAATCCACACCAGGTACCTTGAAATAATCCACATGCAGGTCGAACATTGGCACAACATTGTGTGGAAGGGGTGTGTGTGGGAAAGCTTTATCAGTTTTCCCTTTAGGACAAAGTGACGCGATTGCATGTTCAATTGAACACCTATCTAAACTGAGATAAATTTTCTTAAATGCCGTTCACTTTTCTGCCAGTATCTTCTTCTTGCAATACGGAGAGTCGAATTTAATTGCCTTTTCCCTATTTACAAGTTTCCAACGATTAATAGGGATTCGTTTATCATCATGAGAAAATGTGCTTAAAGGCAACATGATTCAAATGCTTCACATTTATTTGGTTTACAGAAAGCTTGCAAGAAGGCGACACACACGGCAGCCACCATAAGCTCTTATAATAAAGTTGACAAATTTAGAGGCAGATCGGAAGAAAGAACGGCAAGTGGAAATCAAGGCACAACTCATGGCGTATTGGATGATTTGAAAACAGCCGAAGAGCACTATAAACGTCGTCTGGAAATTGCGAAAGAAACGGGTGACCGGTACGGCGAAGGAAATGCGTGTGGTAATCTTGGCAACGTCCTTTACCGTTTGGGAGATTTTAAAACAGCTAGAGACTACCATGAACATCACCTAACGGTTGCAAAAGAACTGGGTGACAGATACAGAGAAGGAAACGTGTATGGTGATCTTGGCAATGCCTATTACAGTCTGGGAGATTTTAAAACCGCCATGGACTACCATGGGCGTCATTTGAAAATTGCGAAAGAATTTAGTGACAAATCCGAAGAAGGAAGAGCGTATGCAAATCTTGGCAATAGTTCTCTCAGTCTTGGAGATTTAACAACAGCCTTAGACTACCATAAACGTCACCTAAAAGTTACGAAAGAACTGGGTGACAGATCCGGCGAAGGAGCAGCATGTGGCAATCTTGGCAATGCCTATTTCAGTCTTGGAGATTTTAAAGTGGCCATGGACTACCATGAGCGTGACTTGAAAATTGCAAAAGAATTAGGTGACATATCGGGAGAAGGAAGAGCGGTTGGAAATCTTGGCAATGCCTATGAGAAATTGGGGGATTCCAAAACAGCCATAGACTACCACAGACGTCATCTAAAGATTGCTAAACAATTGGGTGACAGATTAGCAGAAGGAGGGGTGTACGGCAGTCTTGGTGTCGCCTATCAAGGTCTGGGAGATTGTAAAAAGGCCATAGATTACCATGAACGTCACCTTAAAGTTGCGCAAGAACTGGGTGACAGATCCGGAGAAGGAAGAGCATGCGGCAATCTTGGCAATGCCTATTACACACTAAGAGATTTTAAAAAAGCTTTAGACTTCCATGAACGCGACTTGAAAAATGCCAAGGAATTAGGTGAAAGATTGGCGGAAGGAGAGGCGTGTGGCAATCTTGGTCTCGTTCATCACGGTCTAAGAGACTTCAATACAGCCATCTACTACCTTGACCTTCACTTACAAATTGCAAAAGAAGTGGGTGACAGATCCGGAGAAAGAAGAGCGTGTGGCAATCTTGGTAGTATCTTTTACAGTGTAGGAGATTTCAAAACTGCTGTAGACTACCATGAACGTGACCTGAAAATTGCAAAAGAAATGGGTGACAGATCCGGTGAAGGAAAAGCGTATGGCAATCTTGGCAATGCTTATTACAGTCTAAGAGATTTTAAAACAGCCATGGACTATTATGAGCGTGTGTTGAAAATTGCGAAAGAATTAGGTGACAGATCCGGAGAAAGAAGGGCGTATGGCAATCTTGGCGATACCTTTCACAGTGTAGGAGATTTTAAAACTGCTGTAGACTACCATGAACGTGACCTGAAAATTGCAAAAGAATTGGGTGACAGATCTGGTGAACGAAAAGCGTATGGCAATCTTGGCAATGCTTGTTACAGTCTAAGAGATTTTAAAACAGCTGTGGACTATTATGAGCGTGTGTTGAAAATTGTGAAAGAATTAGGTGACAGATCGGGAGAAGGAAAAGCTTATGCAAATCTTGGCAATGCCTGTGAAAGTCTGGGAGATTTTAAAACAGCCAAAGACTACTATGAATGTGAACTAAAGATTGCGAAAGAATTGAGTGACAGATCGGGAGAAGGAAGGGCGTATGGCAAACTTGCTATGGCCTATTACAATCTAGGAAATTTTAAAACCGCCATAGACTATTATGAGCATATTTTGAAAATGGCAAAACAATTTGGTGACAGATCAGGGGAAGGAGAAGTGTACGGAAACCTTGGCCTCGCTCATTTTGGTCTGCGAAGTTTTAAAACAGCCATAGACTACCACGAACGCCATCTGAATATTGCAAAAGAATTGAATGATAGACGGGGAGAAGGAAGAGCGTATTGCAGTCTTGGCAATGCCTATTACAGTTTAGAAGATTTCAAAACAGCCGAAGACTACCATCAACGTCATCTCAGAGTTACGAAAGAATTAGGTGACAGATCGGGAGAAGGATACGCATATGGCAATCTTGGCAACGTCCATACCAGACTGGGAGATATTAAAACAGCCAAAGATTACTATCAGCGTCAACTGAAAATTTCGAAGGAATTGGGTGACAGATTGGGAGAAGGAAGGGCGTACTGCAATCTTGGCGGCGCCCACTACAGTCAGGGGGATTTTAAAACAGCGAAAGACTACCATGAACGTCATCTGAAAATTGCAAAAGAATTGGGTGATAGATCGGCAGAAGGGGGAGCGTATGGAAATCTTGGCGAAGACCATCGTAGGCTGGGAGACGTTGAAAGGGCCATTGAGTACCATAAACGTCATCTGCAAATTGCTAAAGAATTTGGTGACAGATCTGAAAAAGGAAGAGCGTATGGTAATCTTGGCATCATCAATGAGAGGCTGGGAGATTTTAAAACAGCCATTGAGTACTATGAGCATCGGCAAAAAATTGCGAAAGAACTGGGAGAAAAACTGGGGGAAGGAGTAGCGTGTTGCAATCTTGGCTGCGCCCATTTCAGTCTTGGAGATTTCGAGGCAGCCAAGCAATACCATGAATGTGGCCTAAGAATTGCGAAAGAATTGGGTGACAGATCATTAGAAGGAATGTCATGCGGCAATCTTGGCAGCACACATATCAGTCTGGGAGATTTAAAAACGGGCATAGAATACCACAAACGTCACCTGAAAATTTCAAGAGAATTGGGCGACAGATCTGGGGAGAGAACGGCGTATTGCAACCTCGGCATCGTCCATCGCAAACTAGAAGACTTTAAAACAGCCATACACTACCTTGAATGTAGCCTGGAAATTTCGAAAGAGTTGGGTGAAAGGTTGGGAGAAAGAATTGCCTATGGCAATCTCGGAAATGTTCATGCTAGTATGGGAGATTATAAAACAGCCATAGACTACCACAAACGTCAACTGAAAATTGCGAAGGAATTGGGTGATTCATTGGGGGAGGCAATCGCTTGTTCGAATCTTGGTGGATCCTTTAAATATCTAGACCAAGTTCCAGTGGCTGTTGGATATTATCAGCTCGGTATTGCTTTATTTAATGATGTCCGAAATCGTCTTCATCTCAACGACGAGTTGAAAGTGAGCTTACGTGATCAATATCAAAGAATTTACGCCGAACTTTGGCGCTTGATGTTGGCAGAAGGCAAGGTTACGGAAGCTTTGTTTTCTGCAGAGCAAGGACGTGCACAGGGTCTGAAAGACCTAATGGCATTCAGTTATGGATTTGAAATGGCTGATGCTGAATCAGATCAAGAAGACAGTACCTTTCATGAAATCTCCAGCCGTATTCCTCTGAATACAATATTCATGGCGTTTGCAGAGAACGAATTGGTGTTTTGGGTTAAAAAAGGTAAGGGGTTTGAATTAAGAAGAAAGCAAATCAGTTGGCAGGATGAAATCGACACTTTTTTTGAGTGTCTTGTGGAGGTTGTGGGTCAGGAAATCGGTGTAAGACATTATGTTAACTGTGAAGATCGCTCCTTTCAGTTGGTGAAGGATAAGACACTGGAAGTTGAAAGATCAACTGGTGATGGCAGAAAAACCCACCAGTTACACCTTCAAAGTAGTGGTTTGAATACATTGTACGACATCATCATTGAACCTATCCAAGATCTTCTTGTGGGAAATGAACTTATATTTGTCCCGGAAGGTCCACTTTGCTTGGCTTCTTTTGCTGCAATTAAGGGTCCAAATTCTAAATACCTCTGTGAATCATTCAGAATTCGCGTGGCTCCGTCTCTCACCAGCTTAAAAATGATTGCAGATTGTCCATTAGATCACCACTGCAAGTCTGGTGTGCTTCTTGTGGGCGATCCATGGGTGCAAGAAGTGACAGAGCTAGGGGGGTTGCCCTATGCCAGAGAGGAAGTTGATATGATTGGCAGAATGCTCGGCTGTACGCCTCTTATTGGAAGACAGGCCACAAAAGATGAGGTATTAAGACGACTCGGTTCTGTTGCTTTGGTGCACATCGCTGCACATGGCAGCATGGAAACGGGCGAAATTGCCTTGGCGTCAAATAATGGTGAGATGGATTTTATTTTGACGATGAAAGATGTAAAGCGTGTTCACATTCGTGCAAGACTGGTTGTACTCAGCTGTTGTCATAGTGCTCATGGAATAATCAAAGCAGAGGGTGTAGTTGGCATAGCACGAGCGTTTTTAGGTGCCGGTGCTCGTTCTGTTCTAGTTTCGTTGTGGGCGATTGATGACAAGGCCACTCTTGAGTTTATGAAAAATTTCTATGAACATCTTGTGAAGGGAAAAAGTGCAAGTGAAGCCTTAAACCAAGCAATGAACTGCATGAGAGAATCTGAGGAGTTTAGCGCAGTTAAGTACTGGGCACCGTTTGAACTCATTGGTGATGACGTCACATTAGAACTTTCTGAATTTGAATGAGTTTTTTTAAAGGGTAAACGTTATTCTGTTTTTTGAAAATACTCTTATCGTGCTCTAGTCACAGGAATGCTTCCCGCGCGATTTCACATCTCATCATGCTTGCAGCAACAATGAAATAACTAGGTCATTAATAGAATGTATAGGGGTAATCTTGACCTGGTATGACTATAGCAGTGAATTTGTTTCTGTAACAACGCAGGCTCATTAATCCCGGCTAGGTTTTAGGCTTTTTATATAGCTCCTTTTCATTTTAAAGCTGTTACATGTACCATACTTAATTCCTTTATCGATTCTACTGGCTACATTTTGAAAGTTCTTAGTTTTTCATTGGACGTAAACATCACCTTTCGCAATGTTTGGTACTCTATTAAATGGCATATTAAAAAAAATTACGTTGATTGTCCCCTTCTTTGTTTTTGATATAAATATTGTCGGATCAGATAAATTAGTTTTGTGATCTGAGGCCAAAAAAATTTTAAGATATATCGATTTCCAGACTTTAAATATTGGATGATAAACATACCTTTTGTTTTTTGTCTTGCAGGTGATGAAGAAAGGAACAGAGTGCCAAATAAACCTTTAGCTGGTCTCTTTTATGGAGGGTATCAGCTTCGTTTTCCTTACAAATTGTCTTGATACATAGATTTTTTTGCTTACAGAGTATGTTTATTCTTTTTCTTGAAAAGGAGAACCTTTTCCTATGGACGATTTAAATATCAAGACATCTGAAGTTAAGTCAGCGGTTGAGGTTTTGACGAGCTACCGACAATCTGAAGCATAAAGTAACCATTAGATTCTTTTAAATAAGAGGCAAGTTTTTAGTCTGCTGCACAGCCGTTTTTGTCGTCACGCAACGCTCCTAGTTTGTGGGGAGGAGCGTTGCGTGACTACACAAAAACGGCCATGTCGAAGACTAGCATGTCTTTAAGGATCTCTATTTTACGCTGCATTGTTTGAAACGATTTTATAAAGGTATTTTTAAACAATAAGACCTGACAGCTTAAATAGTGACCAACAGTATATCAACCAATTTAGAGATTTAATCGTACATTTATTCCCAAAAAAATAGCCAGTTTTTCCCCTACAGGTATTGACAAGCGCTTGAATATCGTTGCACCTACGTGCAATGAGGATATCAGTGGTTTGGAGAACGCCCGAGTCATCCAAACTGTTAAAATCAGTAAGGAAAATATTTTGGCTGTTTCTAAAGAATTCATACATCAATTTTAATTCTCTGAGTCTCGATTTTCTTCCCCTTAACTAACCTTGTCCTATAATTAATTTACTCTTGTGTCATTTTTTTCAAATTCCCTATGGTCGTCTCACAAAAGCGACCCGTGCGAGCCATCACCATCTTAGACTGTCGAGCACATTCTGTACCCTTGTTGCAAAATAAGCTTGTTAACAGGCTCTGGCTATAACTGATCGCGAGAGTACGACGCGAGAAGGAATTGAAGAAAGAAAATAGGGAAATGGCTAGGCCTCGGTTCGCCGATTTTTTCCGCTTTTTCACCAACAAGGAGCCTGATCCAAGGCTTTCGAATGGCTAAAAGGGACGTGATGTACATTTTGGCATGATAAGTTTGTTGCAGAACATTTTTTTGCAATTACCTTTCCATACTATGCAGACAAGCTCTACATGCAATCTGTGAAGTCAAACAGCAAAATACTGTTAATGTTTTGACAAATGTAATGTAGGTAATATCTCTGATTACTTGCTTCTCGTTTTGGGGATGGAGAGGAGGTGTTGGCAAGAGTACGTGTCCTTGGCTATGCTTAACCAGATGTTCTCTGTCCAGGAATGTATGCTTTCTTCCATTCAGTGATTTCTTCCGTAACTACTCGTGTTGACGATATGTTGAAGACGGTAACTTAATCAAAAAAAAGTCTCGAGTTTACTCAGAAGAATGTGGAAAAGCTCAATACAGTGGCGACCAAACTCGAAGACGCTGAGGGTGAAATTGGCTCCGTTCAAAAGACTCTTGATGAACAAAGTTCTAATATGGAATATCTTGAAAACCAGAGCAGGAGGAACAATATTAGACATTAAGGAATACCGCAATCGGCTGATGAAACGGAATTACCGAGACTTGGCTGCGAGATTCAACACATAATTCCAATATTCCTGGTTATAGACTCATCTATAAACATCGCACTAACACGTCTGGTGGAGGTGTTGGTCTCTATTTGGCGGATAGCCACGAATTTAAATGCGTTCAGATATTTCTTTCTCCAGTGATACGATTGCAGAGTCATTGTTTGTGGAAGTGAATAGGCGAAAAGAAATAAACTTACTTATCACTCGAATTTCTAAAGAGAATAAAAAGTGCTATATTATGGCCGATTGGAATATAGACTTAACTGAAGCATCAGTCTCATGACAAAACAGGTTAATTTTTAGACATAATGTTCTCCGGATCGTTTTTCCCATTTCTCGGCCAACAAGAATAACCTCAAATTCAGCTAAACTAATTGATAATATCTTTAATTACAAACGACCCAAACAATTGTTCTGCCAGTGGTTTGCTGTTTACTGACATTTCTGACCATGTTCCTATTTTCACAATATTATTTGATCATTGTAAGAATACAAGTAAAAATATTTATGTCACCTACCGTGATAAAAATGCCACAAATATGGCTGCCTTCAAAGCCGAGCTTCAAATTGCTAATTGGGATGACGTCACTGGACACGGTGACCCAAATTCCGCAAATGAAACTATTTTGAACAAATATAGCGCTTCTTATGTTAGGTGCTTCCCTCTGAAAAAGGTAAAGGCAAGAAATGGTTGTTTGAACAAGCCTTGGTTGTCCAAGCGTCTTCTCAAATCCATAAATAGGAAAAATATTTTATATAAGCGCTATCTCTATAATCCCTCTTCTGACCGCGAAAATCAATACAAAAACAGAGAAATAAATCAACTTGTTCTTTACGTGCCGCTAAACGTATATATTACGCGAACAAATTAGAGGAATGCAAATCAGATATGAAGTCCACTTTGAGTATACTTAATGAAGTAATTAATAACAAAAAAAGTAAGAGTATTTTAACCACGACGTTTAATGTTGATGACAAGGAAATATCCGATCCAACTCAGATCGCGGACCATTTTTGTGTATCCTTCACAAATATCGACCTAATTCTTGTCTCACTTTGCACCGTTCTTTTCTTTTTGGAGCTTTTGTGAATTCGTTGTACCTACAACCAACTACTGAGCAGGAAATTATTGAAATTTGTACTAGATTTCTTGCAGGAACTCTGCAGGCTATGACCAAATTACTATGAACGTAATTAAAGAAATAATAGATTTAATCGTTCAGCCATTAACGTAAATAACGAATTTATCTTTAAGTTCTAATACCGGTCCCGATCAAATGAAGATAGCCCGAGTTATTCCTTAATATTTAAAACAGGTGATCTCTCTGTTTACCAATTATAGACCAGTTTCCGTTTTGCCGGCTTTTCAGTTCTAAGATTCTAGATAGAATTGTTTATGATCTTTTGATCAATTTCTTGAATGAATTTAACATCCTTTCTAATAATCAATATGGTTTTAGGAAAAATCACTCTACTGTCTATGCGGCTATTCAATTATATGATTAACGTTCAGGTGCGATTGATCAAGGAAAAGTTATTTTGGGTCTATTATTTATTGACCTATCCAAGGCCTTCGACACTGTGAACCATGATATCCTAGTGCTAAACTAGAGTTTTATGGGGTTCGTGGTGTTATATTTCAGTGGTTCAAGAGTTATTTTCCTTGTAGAACTCAATTTGTACAGTACAATGGCTAAGAATTCTTCCTCTGAATGCGCCAAATGTGGAGTGCCTCACGGATCGATTTTAGGTCCATTGTTGTACATTAATGACAAGTGTAATGTATCAAAGGCCAATGGATTTCATACTTTTTGCCGATGATACCAACATATTATTTTGTCACAACGACCCAAATCAACTGTTGGAAATTGTGAACAACGAATTGAAGAAACTATCAAGCTGGTTTCAGGCTAATTAGCTTTCTATTAACATAAGAAAATCAAATTTTGTTCTATTTAAAACAAAACAGGCAAAAAGTTGACTTACATTTTCAATTAATGATATTAAAATTGATTGTGTAAGTGAAGTTCTGTTCTTGGGAATTATACTTGATGAACACTCATTTTGGAAATATCAAATACAGAACGTAGCAAGAAAAGTCCCAAAATCAGTAAGAATTATTTACACTTACAAGTTCAGCCTTTTCTATTTTTATTCTATTTAATGATTATTTTCTATGTTCCAAACAAATTGTGCGTACTTAGAGTTAAATTGCCGATGTCAGTATTGTAATTATTAATTAAATAACACAATTTAAAAGGTGGTCGTATACACAAGCCTTTTGGCTTCTTTGGGCTTGCCTTGCCTGTTGATTTATTTCTATATTTTGTGTGTATGGCAAAATGATAATGATAAAACAATTACAGCCCGTGCCGAGCGACTTCCTTGTATCGGTTATGACGTCCTCCGTTTTCACAGTCAACGACGACTTTGTTGTCTAACTTGCAAAGAGATCTCTCAAATCATGCCAGAAAGAGCACGATTCAGTCAAAGAGGCCGAGGAAAAGGGCAAAAGTTGACACGAAAATTCCGATGAAAGTCTTGCTCCACTATCCGCCTGAACTTCCCTCCATCTAATCCTACGATCCTAAGAGCTTTCCCAACAACTTTTTCCTCCTTAATGAAGCCTAGCGGGAGCCCATATGAGCTCCTGAGCCTAGTAAATGTCCAGCGAAAGAAAAAGAATGGGACTTGCCTAATCCCTATACCTAATTTCACGTTTCGTGGAGGACGTGAATACATGACAACTTTGTTTTTCTTTTCCTTAAATTTAATACAGTCTTTTAGAATTTAACTCCTGCAAAATTTGCCAACATTTGAAGAATTGAACAAGATGGAAGAAGCGCGATAAAGTTTGAACCAGCGCCTCTCTCCTCCGTAAAGGCTCCCGCTAAGTATCCCTATAAAAATACTGAGCAATAATCGAAAAAATAGAAGGCGCGCGGGGGACGATGGGAAGAAGGAAAAGGCGGAAACCTCTCTTCTTTCTTTCCCCTTCCCATCGTGCCCCCCGCGCTCTCTTTTTCTTTCTCCCCAGTTTCCCCACTGTAACACAAAAAGGCCTCTGCTGAGGAGAGGGAACCAGCGCCATTTAGTGACATTTTCGTAGCCGTAGCCGTCGCCGTCGTCGTTGCAGGAGATGAAGCATTTTTAATCGCTTGGTGTTATTTCATCGTTTTGGAATGTCTAATCTCGGCTTTAAAGCGATGTTATTCTCCATGTGTTCGCCATGCTTTGGCCGATGTCCGTTCTCGTTGTGTCGGGAAAAACGCCTCTTTAAAAATTCACTGAATTCTTTCATCTGAGCAAAGTAAATTATGAAGTTTAACAAAGGGTTTAGATATGCTATACTGCCAGAACCATAACGTATCATATAGTCAGTTGAGAAATCACGTTGTGGTTTAGCAATCTGTGTATAAGCTGTATTGACTATAAAGAGAGAGAAGAGAAAAATATAGGCGAATGTCAGGGCTATAAGAAGAGATATTCCTTTGATTCTTTTGGCTCTTAAATGAGCCTTGAAAACATTGTTCATTCTATAGCAGATTTGCCTTTTACGCTTTATCCATACAGTTCTGATTAAAGATACATTAACGTATATTATAAACAAAGTGGGCAGTACAAATTGTATTGGGAAGAGAATAAGTGTCAGTTTGAACGGATAGAAAAGCTCGACATTTCGGCATATGACAGTGTAATGGGTTTCGTTAAGGTCGACTCTTACTCCGTCGTACGCGGC